TTTTTTAATTCTAAAATAAATTTAGTGTACATATAAAAAAAGGACCCGCCTTTTGATTACTGGCCACGTGTCAAAATAAGTATAGCGGCTATACGGTTTAAAAAAAAAACAGAAAAAACTGTGAAATTAAAGACTGCCGTCTGCAGCCTTTGCCAACAACAATTCTAGCTTTTCGAAAGGAAAGTCAATCTAATTTGAACCAATAACAAATTGATATGTTTCTTACAGAAATTCTTCTGCATGCTGTCCAATTAAGTCAATGATCGGCTTAGATACTTAATTAAAGAAAAAAAAAGACCTGCTTAGATATGCATTTTGCCTCAGTAACAGCTACGTCTCTGTGGCGTGATCAACATTAGTGCTTTGTCTCTTACTTGTTCTAAACCCATCTTTCATGCTAGGACCAAGCACATCGAGTTGGATTATCACTTCGTGAGAGAAGGGAATTGGTCACTAGTAGTTGTAAAAATCTTTTCAAGTTCAATGTGTTTGTCCTTGTTAGTTGAAGGGAGAAGAGAGGCTTAGAGAATAGTTGATTTATTTAGGACAATATTCTTTATGTGGAATAGAAAGCTTTTTTGAAAGGGTAACAAGATAATTTTATTTTATTGATTGAAATAAGAAGGGTACAAGGCTTTAGAATTGGTTGGATACAAGGGTTGGCTAAAGGGAGGAGTTAGGCAGCTGTAGATTTCAAGTTTTCCTTGAATAAATACATATGTGCTGCTAATAGCTATATATAGGAGTGCTATGTCGGCAGCATACTTTGGAAAAGTTGGTTTGACTTTTCCAAAGTTGTTTTTAGCCACAATTTTTTACATGATTCTAGATTTATCTAGTTATAGTTAATAGATATTTCTAACTTCTACTTTCTCTCAATCTTTCTTGATTTTTCTAGATTATTCAAGATATTTCTATATTATTCTAGTACAAATGTGTATTACTTTTTAACACTCCTCAAGATCAGATTGCAGATGTGTACTCACCAAGGCTCAAGGCTCAGTGCTTTTTTCGGTTCCACTTCCTTCAGATTGAGGGGGAGTGTAAGTAATATGTTTGTCTAAGATCTGCATGCTGTCCAAATAAGCCAATGAATGGCTTTACATACTTGAGGTCAAAAAAGGACCGGCTCAGATATATATATATGCATTTTGACCAAATGTAGTAGTACCTTGTTCTTGTACAAAAATAGAACTGCCAAGAGTGTATTTTCAGGGTAGGCTTGGGCTTCAAGAACATGTTCCTTCTTACTCGAAGAACTTGTTGGCTCTTCTTTTTTATTTTGTTTCCTTGTCCAAGGAAGGAAAAAATGGGCTTGACTTGGTGCAGCTTGGAATTTTGGATTCAACAAGGTTTGCAAATTATTTTTTTTCTCATCCACACAAAATTTCCCAAAATCATTCGTTCGTCCATACAAAGAATGAACCGATTAAGAAAATAAGAATTCAGGGCAACATGTTATTGTTTATTTGGCCTCATTAGCCTTATTGCAAGTAAGGTATTACATTTGCATATACAGATCTAATCCTCATTTTCTCATCCCCAAGTAGTTGAAGCTGCAAGAACAATAGTAAAAACATATGTAGTTAATACATCAGAACATCCATTTGTTAATATACAATAATTCCAATAGAGTTAAACATATTTCTACTTAGGATTTACCAACCTTTTTGAGAAAGAGCCCAGTTATTGTCGTCACCACTGTCCTTTTTTTCTACCCTGAAAAATCTTGGAATATGCCTCGCACTCCAACCCATAGTGAGTATTCACCAATTCAAAAAACCCGTGTCCCCTTTGCTTAGCATATGAAACCTTGGCAGAGATACTCTGTGTGTCGTCGTAGCCAATCCATGTTGTCCCAGAGTAGCAGTAGTTTGTAACAACCGTCGCATTGTACACTGTCTGTGTCCCATTCTGGCTTATGAAGTCCCGTATGTCCTTGTAGTTTATGCTCCCATCTGTCCTAATAGCAGGTCCATCAGCCGGTCCATCAGCTGGAGCAAAAAGGCCATGCTCATCAGCATTCAGCAAACGCCATGCATACCCATAAAATGGAAGGCCCAGCACTATCTTATCCGCACCCAAACCTGCCTGAACCCAAGATGTGATGCCAGCATCCCCATTAACCTGGCTAGTGGTTGCGTTGTACAATGCAGCCGGTGGTCCAGTGCTGGCTCTGCTTGAGTCCCAAGCAGAGCCATAGAAGTCATAAGCCATTACATTGATCCAGTCCAAACTGTTTGATATGGACTCAATGGGGTAATTTATGGTATAGTAATCTGCATAGCGAAATACTGCAGCGGCTAAAAGCAATTCGGTGTTGCCAGATGTCTGGGACTCATTGGCCACAGCAGCTCGCAGCTCGGTGAGAAGGGTGCCAAAGTTGGTCATGTGAGTGGTGGTGTCCGGGTACTCCCAATCAAGGTCAATGCCATGGAAGTTGTAGGACCTGGCTAAGTTAATGGAAGAGTCAATGAATGATTTTCGCCTGCTGGGTTGGCTTGCCATTGAAGCAAAGGTGTCTGCAATAGTAGCATTGCCTCCACCAATGGACAAGAGGGTTTTCACAGAAGGGTTTTTTTGTTGGACTGTTTGTGTGAAGCTCGAGAATTGGGCTGAGTTTGAGGAAGTAACGGTGACTTGGTAAGTATTGGGATCAAGATCAGCAAATGCACAGAAAAGATGAGTGAATAGGCTGGAATCTATGCTGGATGCTCGAAATCCGCTGTCCCAAT